AAGAGCCGACAAAGTGGCCGAACTCCGCTATCTACAGCAGATGTTCACTACCTACGGATACCCCCGGAGCTTTATAGAGCGCAGTAGACGGGTCAACCCAATAAAAAAGCCAACGGTCAACCAACCAAAAGCTTGGCGGGCGCTACCTTATATTGCAAACGTGTCCGAAGCAGCCGCTCGACTCCTGCAGCCATTAGGTATCGGCATCGCCCATAGACCCGAAGCAACGATCCGACGATTGATAATGAAACCAAAGGCCCCCCTGTCCCGAGGTGAAACGGCCAACGTCGTGCACAGGATCAAATGTAGTTCCTGCGATGTGAACTATGTCGGGGAAACGGGCAAGCGATTGCAAACCCGTATGTACGAACACGAAGGAGCGGTGCGCAGACAGGAAGAACGGTCTCTAGTGGCAAAACATTGCGCAGCTACAGGGGATACGTTCGCTTTTCAAGACGCTGAGGTCCTGGGGCGAGGAAGTGACCAAACAGCTAGGGAGACACTCGAAGCCTGGCACACCACATCCAATTCTATCAACCGCTGTGTGCCGCTGCCAGCGGCCTACCAAGCTTTACGGGTTAAGTACAAGCAACATGACCACGGAAAGGAACGCCGACCAGACGTGCCAACCAACAGCAAAAACGAGCGTGCACGACCGTCAGATGCAGTCGCAAACGAAGGGCAAGCCATGGTGTCTACAGGCCCGCGGGACTAGCAACATGATGTGAACGCAGACGAATACCAGCACGCGCTGAGACTAGATAACAGCGAGCATGATCGCCAGCCCTGAAGCAGCCGAGACAGCAGGACAACGGGCGAACCTAACAAACGGACCATGAAAACTCGATCAATGGCTAGTATCAACCCGACGCCGCCACCGTACCCTGTCGAGACGAGCCCATGGCTGCCTGACAACAAGAACAATGCAGACAAACGCGAGTACACGCTGGAACCAGACAACGATGATCGCCAGCCCGGCGACAACCGACACATGAACACGGACATGGCAACCACCGTTCGCACGTCTGCGGGAAGTTGTCAACACAGCAGGAGGACGGGTGAACC